TGAGTGGGTGAGTTGGTGGGTGAGTGGGGGGGCGAGTGGGTGAGTGAGTGGGTGGGTGGGTGGGTGAGTGGGTGGGTGAGTGAGTGGGTGGGTGGGTGGGTGAGTGGGTGAGTGGGTGGGTGAGTGGGTGGGTGAGTTGGTGGGTGAGTTGGTGAGTGGGTGAGTTGGTGAGTGGGTGAGTGAGTTGGTGAGTGGGTGAGTGAGTGGGTGAGTGGGTGAGTGAGTGGGTGAGTGAGTGGGTGAGTGAGTGGGTGAGTGAGTGAGTGGGTGGGTGAGTGGGTGGGTGAATGAGTGAGTGAGTGGATGGATGAGTTGGTGAGTGGGTGGGTGGGTGAGTGAGTTGGTGAGTGAGTGGGTGAGTGGGTGGGTGGTTGGGTGAGTGTGTGTGTGTACAGGTGGTAGTATCTGACTGTGTGTGTGTGTGTACAGTTGGTAGTATCTGACTGTGTGTGTGTACAGGTGGTAGTATCTGACTGTGTGTGTGTGTACAGGTGGTAGTATCTGACTGTGTGTGTACAGGTGGTAGTATCTGACTGTGTGTGTGTACAGGTGGTAGTATCTGACTGTGTGTGTGTACAGGTGGTAGTATCTGACTGTGTGTGTGTACAGGTGGTAGTATCTGACTGTGTGTACAGGTGGTAGTATCTGACTGTGTGTGTACAGGTGGTAGTATCTGACTGTGTGTGTGTGTGTACAGGTGGTAGTATCTGACTGTGTGTGTGTGTGTGTACAGGTGGTAGTATCTGACTGTGTGTGTACAGGTGGTAGTATCTGACTGTGTGTGTGTACAGGTGGTAGTATCTGACTGTGTGTGTGTGTACAGGTGGTAGTATCTGACTGTGTGTGTGTACAGGTGGTAGTATCTGACTGTGTGTGTACAGGTGGTAGTATCTGACTGTGTGTGTGTGTACAGGTGGTAGTATCTGACTGTGTGTGTGTGTACAGGTGGTAGTATCTGACTGTGTGTGTGTGTACAGGTGGTAGTATCTGACTGTGTGTGTGTGTGTGTGTACAGGTGGTAGTATCTGACTGTGTGTGTACAGGTGGTGGTATCTGACTGTGTGTGTGTACAGGTGGTAGTATCTGACTGTGTGTGTGTGTACAGGTGGTAGTATCTGACTGTGTGTGTGATGTGTTTTGTGTTCACAGCTCTGACCGTCTGATTGATGACACAATCAGGTACGCACACGTGACTGTGCACACGTGACTGTGTACACGTGTGTCACTGTGTGTGTGTGTACACTGTGTGTGTGCACGTGTGTGTACACTGTGTGTGTGTGCACTGTGTGTGTGTGTACACGCTGTGTGTGTGTACACGTGTGTGTGTACACTGTGTGTGTACACTGTGTGTGTACACGTGTGTGTGTGTGTGTACACTGTGTGTGTGTACCTGTGTGTATACCTGTATGTACGCACGTGTGTGTGTATGTGTGTGTGTATACGTGTTTGTGTGTGTACACGTGTGTGTGTGTACACTGTGTACGTGTGTGTGTACACGTGTGTGTACACTGTGTGTGTACACTGTGTGTGTGTACACGTGTGTGTGTACACTGTGTGTGTACCTGTGTGTACCTGTGTGTACACGTGTGTCTGTGTACGCGTGTGTGTGTACGTGTGTGTACGTGCGTGTACGTGTGTGTGTACACGTGTGTGTGTGGACGTGTGTACGTGTGTTTGTACACGTGTGTGTGTGTGTGCATGTGTGTACACGTGTTTGTGTGTGTACACGCGTGTGTGTGTGTACACGTGTGTGTGTGTGTGTGTGGACGTGTGTTTGTACACGTGTGTGTGTGTGTGTGTACACGTGTGTGTGTGTGTGGACGTGTGTTTGTACACGTGTGTGTGTGTACACGTGTGTGCGTGTGTGTGCATGTGTGTACACGTGTTTGTGTGTGTACACGCGTGTGTGTGTGTACACGTGTGTGTGTGGACGTGTGTTTGTACACGTGTGTGTGTGTGCATGTGTGTACACGTGTTTGTGTGTGTACATGCGTGTGTGTGTGTACACGTGTGTGTGTGTGTGGACGTGTGTTTGTACACGTGTGTGTGTGTGTGTACACGTGTGTGTGTGGAAGTGTGTGTGTGTGGACGTGTGTGTGTACGTGTGTGTGTACACTGTGTGTGTGTGTACGTGGGTTTGTACACGTGTGTGTGCACTGTGTGTACACGTGTTTGTGTGTACACTGTGTGTGTACACGTGTGTGTGTGTACACTGTGTGTGTACCCTTGTTTGTGTGTGTGTACACGTGTGTGTGTGTACACTGTGTGTGTACACGTGTTTGTGTGTGTGTACACGTGTGTGTGTGTGTACACTGTGTGTGTACACCTGTGTGTGTACACGTGTGTGTGTGTGTACACGTGTGTGTGGACGTGTGTGTGTACGTGTGTTTGTACACGTGTGTGTGTGTGCACTGTGTGTACACGTGTGTGTGTGTGTACACGTGTGTGTGGACGTGTGTGTGTACACGCGTGTGTGTACACGTGTGTGTGTGTACACGTGTGTGTGTACACTATGTGTGTACACGTGTGTGTGTGCACTGTGTGTACACGTGTGTGTGTGTGTACACGTGTGTGTGGACGTGTGTGTGTACACGCGTGTGTGTACACGTGTGTGTGTGTACACGTGTGTGTGTACACTATGTGTGTACACGTGTGTGTGTGTGTGTACACGTGTGTGTGTGTGTGTACACTGTGTGTGTGTGTACACTGTGTGTGTACACGTGTGTGTGTGTGTGTACGTGTGTTGGGAGCGGTGGTGTAGTGGTTAGCGCTATGCAGCAGAGAGAAAACGCTCATCTGTGTTGTAGTGTATAGTGTAGTGTATGGTAGTGTAGTGTATAGTGTAGTGTATAGTAGTGTAGTGTATAGTGTAGCAGTGTATAATGTAGCAGTGTATAGTGTAGTGTATAGTAGTGTATAGTAGTGTATAGTGTAGTGTATAGTAGTGTATAGTGTAGTGTATAGTGTAGTGTAGTGTATAGTAGTGTAGTGTGTAGTGTATAGTAGTGTATAGTGTAGTGTATAGTAGTGTATAGTGTAGTGTATAGTAGTGTATAGTTGTGTGTAGTGTATAGTGTAGTGTGTAGTAGTGTATAGTGTAGTGTATAGTGTAGTGTATAGTAGTGTAGTGTATAGTGTAGTGTATAGTAGTGTATAGTGTAGTGTATAGTGTAGTGTATAGTAGTGTAGTGTATAGTAGTGTATAGTAGTGTATAGTGTAGTGTATAGTAGTATAGTGTAGTGTATAGTGTAGTAGTGTATAGTGTAGTAGTGTATAGTTGTATAGTGTAGTAGTGTATAGTGTAGTAGTTTATAGTGTAGTAGTGTATCGTGTAGTAGTGTATAGTGTAGTAGTGTATAGTGTAGTGTATAGTGTAGTGTATAGTGTAGTAGTGTGTAGTGTATAGTGTAGTAGTGTAGTGTATAGTAGTGTGTAGTGGTGTAGTGTATAGTATAGTGTATAGTGTAGTGTATAGTAGTGTAGTGTATAGTGGTGTAGTGTATAGTGTAGTGTATAGTGTAGTGTTTAGTGTAGTGTATAGTGTAGTGTAGAGCGGCACGCTAACCACTGCACCACCGCTCCCCATTCACTCACACACTCACTCACCCACTCACTCACTCACCCACCCACCCACTCACTCACCCACTCACTCACCCACTCACTCACTCACCCACCCACTCACTCACCCACTCACTCACCCACCCACTCACTCACCCATCACCCACCCACCCACTCACCCACTCACCCACCCACTCACCCACCCACCCACTCACTCACTCACCCACCCACTCACCCACTCACTCACCCACCCACCCACTCACTCACCCACCCACTCACTCACCCACCCACTCACCAACTCACTCACTCACTCACCCACTCACTCACCCACCCACCCACTCACTCACCCACCCACCCACTCACCCACTCACCCACCCACCCACTCACCCACTCACTCACCCACCCACTCACCCACCCACTCACCCACTCACCCACTCACCCACCCACTCACTCACCCACCCACTCACCCACCCACTCACTCACCCACCCACTCACCCACTCACCCACATGGCTGTATCTCTCTCTCTCTGCTCTCATCTATTATGCATTGGCTCTTTTGTGCCAGGGGGGATATTAAATGTTTTTGTGTGCACACACACACATACAGTAGACACATACAGTAGACACATACAGTACACACATACAGTACACACATACAGTACGCACATACAGTGCGCACATACAGTGCACACTTGCAGTACATACACGCACGTACTATACACATACAGTGCACGCATACAGCACAATACTCATACAGTGCACGCATATACAGTACACATGTACAGTGCACACAGTACATATGCAGCACACACAGTACTCACAGAGTACACACACAGTACACACACACACAGTACTCACAGAGTACACACACAGTACACAGTACACACACAGTACACAGTACACACACACGGTACACACACACAGTACACACACACAGTACACACACACAGTACACACAGTACACACACAGTACACAGTACACACAGTACACACACAGTACACACACAGTACACACACACAGTACACACACACAGTACACACACACAGTACACACACACAGTACACACACAGTACACACACACAGTACACACACAGTACACACACACACACAGTACACACACACAGTACACACACAGTACACACACACAGTACACACAGTACACACACACAGTACACACACACAGTACACACACAGTACACACACACAGTACACACACACAGTACACACACAGTACACACACACAGTACACACACAGTACACAGTACACACACACACACAGTACACACACACAGTACACACACAGTACACACACAGTACACAGTACACACACACAGTACACACACAGTACACACACAGTACACAGTACACACACACAGTACACACACAGTACACACACAGTACACAGTACACACACAGTACACACAGTACACACACAGTACACACACAGTACATACACAGTACACACAGTACACACACACGGTACACACACACGGTACACACACAGTACACATTACACCCACAGTACACACACACGGTACACACAGTACACATTACACCCACAGTACACACCCACAGTACACACACACAGTACACACACAGTACACACACAGTACACACACTCACAGTACACACACACAGTATGTACACACACAGTATATACACACAGTACACACACACAGTACACATACACAGTACACACACAGTACACACTACACACACAGTACGCACACACAGTATGTACACACAGTACACACACACAGTATACACACAGTATACACACTCACAGTACACACACAGTACACACACACAGTACACACACAGTATACACACTCGCAGTACACACACTCACAGTACACACACTCACAGTACACACACACACAGTACACACACAGTACACACACACACACTACACACACACAGTACATACACACAGTACACACACACACAGTACACACACAGTATATACACACACGGTATGTACACACAGTACACACACAGTACACACACACACACTACACACACACAGTACACACACACACACAGTACACACACACACAGTACACACACAGTACACACAGTACACACACAGTACACACAGTACACAGTACACACACAGTGCACACAGTACACACACACAGTATATACACACAGTACACACACACACACAGTACACACACAGTATATACACACAGTACACACACACAGTACACACACACAGTACACACACAGTACACACACACAGTATGCACAGTACACACAGTACACGCACACAGTACAACACAGTACACACACAGCACACACACAGTACACACACACAGTACACATAAATAATACGTGCATGTGCCTGTGTGTTCACCTGCCTGTGTGTATGTGTGACTGTGTCTGTGTGTGTGTGTGACTGTGTCTTTGTGTATGTGTGTCTGTGTGTATGTGTGTGTCTGTATGTGTGTCTGTGTGTATGTGTGTCTGTGAGTGTCTGTGTGTATGTGTGTGTCTGTGTGTGTGAGTCTGTGTGTGTGTGAGTGTGTGTCTGTGTGTGTATGTGTCTGTGTGTGTCTTTGTGTGTTTCTGTCTCTATGCGAGTGTGTTTGTTGTTGTGTCTGTGTGTGTATGTGACTGTGTGTGTGTGTGACTGTGTGTGTGTGTGTGTGCAAAACAACCCCCTACCTCCTCGCGGTGCTGGACGGGCAACTCTGTCGTGGACAGTGCTGTGGGGGGAGGGCCAATTCGGATTGGCTCCTCCCCTCGTGGCGTCTGTGTCCACCACAGGGGCTAAACGGGGGTTCTGGATGGGTGCGAGGGGCTGGTAACCCCTCCACCTTCAATTAATTACCACGAAACCACGAGTTAAACTGAAATATCTAACTAATAAGCTTGTGCCGGAGGCCCCGGGGGGACAGGCGTCTATGACGTCTCCTGGCCAAACCCCAATTGGCGGAGCCAGGAGATTGAATCTCTACCCTCGGGGCCCCTCCAGAAACAACAAAAAGCTACTACGGATGGCCACGTGGAATGTTCGAACGCTCACTGCGGAGGAGAGGCTGCCACTCCTCTGTCGGGAGCTGGACCGGTACCGCCTGGATCTCTGTGGCATTCAGGAGGTCCGGTGGACCGGTTCAAATCTCTATTTAACTCCATCAAAAAAGTAACCTGCAGCGCCACACCTATTACCATCATTAGGGGAAAAAACGGTGATCCATCTCCGACCCCCAGGAACAGGTTTGCAGATTTGCTGAGCATTTCTGTGAGGTCCTGGGAGAGGGAAAATCCCTCAGCCAGGAAAACATCGTGGCACAAAGTGAGGATGACCCTGCTGAGGCTGCGGTGCCTCAAATATTGGAAGAAGTCACCCCCTGTGAGTGGCTGGCTGAGGTGCTATCTGTTGAGGAAGTACTGAAGGCGATCCGGAGTCTGAGACCAGGAAAGGCAGCGGGCAGAGATGATCTCCTAAGCGAAATGCTGAGGGAGGGTGGCGTTTGTGCACAGACTGCCCTATATGACATCATAACAACAGTCTGGACCACTGGACGGGTTCCGCAGGATTGGAAGGATGCCCTGGTGGTCCCCTTTTTTGAGAAGGGGGACCGCACAGACTATAACAACTACAGGGGCATCTCACTCCTCAGTGTGCCTGGAAAGGTCCTGGCAAGGATTATTCAGCATCGCCTTGCCAGGCACGCTGAGGAGAGGATTGCGGAGCCCCAATGCGGTTTCAGGAAAGGGCGGTCCTGCACAGATGCCATATTTTCTGTCCGTCTGCTACAGCAGAGGTGTAGGGAATTCCAAAAAGATCTACATCTCTGCTTTATTGACCTGGTCAAGGCCTATGATACCATCAGTAGGCCTGGGTTCTGGGTTGTTCTTTGTGCTTTTGGAGTACCTGACCCTCTGCTCACGATCATTAAGGACCTTCATGATGGTGAGCGGGCCCGGGTAAAACTACGTGGCCGGGAGTCAGAGCCATTCCCTGTACACCTTGGGGTGCCACAGGGAAGTCCTCTGGCTCCCACAGTATTTAACATCTATTTTGACCACGTAGTTCGTGAAGCCTTCAATAGCTGTACCGGGGGAATCTCCATATGGTACAGATATAATGGGAGGCTGATCGATGCCCGGGTGCAATCAAGGGATGGCTCCCTATTGCTCAACCACGTTATATATACTGATGATTTGGTAATAGCTGCTCATTCAGAGGAGGAGTTGGAGACGCTGCTGCTGATACTGGAGCGTGCCACTAAGAGGTGGGGCCTTACCATCAGCCCCACCAAAACTAAGCACCTGCCTGGGTATTTTGTACCATCGGACACTCCACCCCCACAACTCCCAATCGGTGATGGGGCAGTTGTTGAGCGAGTGAAGAGTTTCCCATACCTGGGCAGTGTGCTTATGACCGGCTCCAGTTTAACAGCAGAGGTCTCACTCCGAATCAGTCGAGCGGCAATATCTTTTCATCGGTTGCGTAACGCTATGTGGAAGCTACCTGGTCTGTCGCTCCGCACTAAGCTTCAGGTCTTCTCGGCCACGGTCATTCCCTCCCTTCTCTACGCTTGCGAAACGTGGACCCCCCTAATGGAACATCTTCGCCGGTTAGAAACATTTAGGCTGGCCTGCCTACGATCCATCCTGGGTTTAACCAGACTGGATTGTGTGAGGAGCTCACAAATCCTTGAAAGATCTGGGCAAGGTCCCATCGGTGAGCTCCTCCGGCAGGCAAGGCTGCGATGGCTGGGTCATGTAGCCCGCATGCCCAGCCACCGCATGCCGAAACAGCATTTGTTCGGCCGGATCGAGGGGGCTAAACGGGCGCGGCACGGGCTAGAGAAGAGATGGAGTGATGTGGTACAGGAGGACGTGGAGTTGAGTGGACTTGCCGATGACTGGTACCAGCGGTGTCAAGATCGGCCCCTGTGGAGGAGGCTCGTGAAGGATGCTACTGGGCAGTTGGAGGCAGTCGCCCTCCAACAACAACGGAGGGCGGAGGAGCGACGCTCACAATAACGAGCGGAGCGCGGGGTGGCTAAAGCACAGCAGGTTGGCACAGTAGGGGGCACAGGTGGTGCATCAGCCAGTCATCTCAGTCAGTCGACCCGTGGCACCTGGGTCTGCCCCGTGACCTCCTGCCAGCGGGCGTTCGACACTTCACGTGGCCTCAGGGTGCACATAGCCTGGCACAAGCGTCGTGGTGACGTCACCGCCACTTAGTGGTGAATAGCGGTTTTTGTTGTTGTGTGTGTGACTGTGTGTGTGTGACTGTGTGTGACTGTGTCTGTGTGTGTGTGTGACTGTGTGTGTGACTGTGTGTGTGACTGTGTGTGTGTGACTGTGTGACTGTGTGTGTGTCTGTGTGTGTGACTGTGTGTCTGTGTGTGTGACTGTGTGTCTGTGTGTGTGACTGTGTGTCTGTGTGTGTGACTGTGTCTGTGTGTGTGACTGTGTGTGTGACTGTGTCTGTGTGTCTGACTGTGTGTGTCACTGTGTGTGTGTGTCTGTGTGTGTGACTGTGTGTGTGTGTGTGACTGTGTGTGTGTGTGACTGTGTGTGTCACTGTGTGTGTGTGACTGTGTGTGTGTTTGCGTGCCCAGCATTGCGATGGCGACGAAGGAGAAGCTGACGTCACAGCGAGGAGTTTACCGCTCGATCCAGAGCAAGGTGAACAGCCTGGCACGTATCCTGTGGATGAGCGAGTGGGTGGGTGGGTGAGTGGGTGGGTGGGTGGGTGAGTGGGTGGGTGGGTGGGTGAGTGGGTGGGTGGGTGGGTGAGTGGGTGGGTGGGTGGGTGAGTGGGTGGGTGGGTGAGTGAGTGGGTGGGTGGGTGGGTGAGTGGGTGGGTGGGTGGGTGAGTGGGTGGGTGGGTGAGTGGGTGGGTGGGTGGGTGAGTGGGTGGGTGGGTGAGTGGGTGGGTGGGTGGGTGGGTGGGTGGGTGAGTGGGTGGGTGGGTGGGTGGGTGAGTGGGTGGGTGGGTGGGTGGGTGGGTGAGTGGGTGGGTGGGTGGGTGAGTGGGTGGGTGGGTGAGTGGTGGGTGGGTGAGTGGGTGGGTGGGTGGGTGAGTGGGTGGGTGGGTGGGTGAGTGGGTGGGTGAGTGGGTGGGTGGGTGGGTGAGTGGGTGGGTGGGTGGGTGGGTGAGTGGGTGGGTGGGTGAGTGGGTGGGTGAGCGAGCGGGTGAGTGGGTGGGTGAGCGAGCGGGTGAGTGGGTGGGTGAGCGAGCGGGTGAGTGGGTGGGTGAGCGAGCGGGTGGGTAAGCGGGTGAGTGAGTGGGTGGGTGGGTGAGTGGGTGGGTGAGTGGGTGGGTGAGTGGGTGGGTGAGTGGGTGGGTGAGTGGGTGGGTGGGTGAGTGGGTGAGTGAGTGGGTGGGTGAGTGGGTGGGTGGGTGAGTGGATGAGCGAGTGGGCGAGCGGGTGGGTAAGTGGGTGAGTGAGTGGGTGGGTGGGTGGGTGGGTGAGTGGGTGGGTGAGTGGGTGAGCGGGTGAGTGGGCGGGTGAGTGGGTGGGTGAGCGGGTGGGCGAGTGGGCGAGCGGGTGGGCGAGTGGGTGAGCGGGTGGGCGGGTGGGTGAGTGGGTGGGTGGGTGGGTGAGTGGGTGGGTGGGTGGGTGAGTGGGTGGGTGGGTGGGTGAGTGGGTGGGTGGGTGAGTGGGTGGGTGAATGAGTGGGTGGGTGGGTGAATGAGTGGGTGGGTGGGTGAATGAGTGGGTGGGTGAGTGGGTGGGTGAGTGGGTGAGTGGGTGGGGTGAGCGGGTTGGCGAGTGGGCGGGTGGGTAAGTGGGTGAGTGGGTGAGTGGGTGGGTGAGCGAGTGGGTGGGTGGGTGAGTGAGTGGGTGAGTGGGTGGGTGAGTGAGTGAGTGGGTGAGTGAGTGGGTGGGTGAGTGAGTGGGTGGGTGGGTGAGTGGGTGGGTGGGTGAGTGGGTGGGTGGGTGGGTGAGTGGGTGGGTGGGTGGGTGAGTGGGTGGGTGAGTGGGTGGGTGGGTGGGTGGGTGAGTGGGTGGGTGGGTGGGTGGGTGAGTGGGTGGGTGGGTGAGTGGGTGGGTGGGTGAGTGGGTGGGTGAGCGAGCGGGTGAGTGGGTGGGTGAGCGAGCGGGTGAGTGGGTGGGTGAGCGAGCGGGTGAGTGGGTGGGTGAGCGAGCGGGTGGGTAAGCGGGTGAGTGAGTGGGTGGGTGGGTGAGTGGGTGGGTGAGTGGGTGGGTGAGTGGGTGGGTGAGTGGGTGGGTGGGTGAGTGGGTGAGTGAGTGGGTGGGTGAGTGGGTGGGTGGGTGAGTGGATGAGCGAGTGGGCGAGCGGGTGGGTAAGTGGGTGAGTGAGTGGGTGGGTGGGTGGGTGGGTGAGTGGGTGGGTGAGTGGGTGAGCGGGTGAGTGGGCGGGTGAGTGGGTGGGTGAGCGGGTGGGCGAGTGGGCGAGCGGGTGGGCGAGTGGGTGAGCGGGTGGGCGGGTGGGTGAGTGGGTGGGTGGGTGGGTGAGTGGGTGGGTGGGTGGGTGGGTGGGTGGGTGAGTGGGTGGGTGGGTGGGTGAGTGGGTGGGTGGGTGAGTGGGTGGGTGAATGAGTGGGTGGGTGGGTGAATGAGTGGGTGGGTGGGTGAATGAGTGGGTGGGTGAGTGGGTGGGTGAGTGGGTGAGTGGGTGGGTGAGCGGGTTGGCGAGTGGGCGGGTGGGTAAGTGGGTGAGTGAGTGGGTGGGTGGGTGGGCGAGTGGGTGGGCGAGTGAGTGAGCGGGTGGGTGGGTGAGCGAGGGGGTGGATGATTGAGTGGGTGGGTGAGTTAGTGGGTGGGTGAGTTAGTGGGTGGGTGGGTGATTGGGTGAGCGAGTGGGTGAGCAGGTGGGCGAGTGGGTGAGTGGGTGAGTGAGTGAGTGGGTGAGTGGGTGGGTGAGCGAGTGGGTGGGTGGGTGAGTGAGTGGGTGAGTGGGTGGGTGAGTGAGTGAGTGAGTGGGTGAGTGGGTGGGTGAGTGAGTGAGTGGGTGAGTGGGTGGGTGAGTGAGTGGGTGAGTGAGTGGGTGGGTGAGTGGGTGGGTGAGTGAGTGGGTGAGTGGGTGGGTGAGCGATTGGGTGGGTGAGTGGGTGGGTGAGCGAGTGGGTGGGTGAGCGGGTGGGTGAGTGAGTGAGTGAGTGGGTGAGTGAGTGGGTGGGTGAGTGGGTAAGTGGGTGGGTGAGTGAGTGAGTGAGTGGGTGAGTGAGTGGGTGGGTGAGTGAGTGGGTGAGTGGGTGAGTGGGTGGGTGAGTGGGTAAGTGGGTGGGTGAGTGAGTGAGTGGGTGAGTGAGTGGGTGGGTGAGTGAGTGGGTGAGTGGGTAAGTGGGTGGGTGAGTGAGTGAGTGAGTGGGTGAGTGAGTGGGTAAGTGGGTGGGCGAGTGGGTGAGCGAGTGGGTGGGTGAGTGGGTGGGTGAGTGGGTGGGTGAGCGAGTGGGTGGGTGAGTGAGTGGGTGGGTGAGTGAGTGAGTGAGTGGGTGAGTGAGTGGTTGGGTGAGTGGGTAAGTGGGTGGGTGAGTGAGTGGGTGGGTGGGTGGGTGAGTGGGTGGGTGGGTGGGTGAGTGGGTGGGTGGGTGGGTGAGTGGGTGGGTGGGTGAGTGAGTGGGTGGGTGGGTGGGTGAGTGGGTGGGTGGGTGGGTGAGTGGGTGGGTGGGTGAGTGGGTGGGTGGGTGGGTGAGTGGGTGGGTGGGTGAGTGGGTGGGTGGGTGGGTGGGTGGGTGAGTGGGTGGGTGGGTGGGTGGGTGTGTGGGTGGGTGGGTGGGTGGGTGGGTGGGGGGGTGGGTGGGTGAGTGGGTGGGTGGGTGAGTGGGTGGGTGGGTGAGTGGGTGGGTGGGTGGGTGAGTGGGTGGGTGGGTGGGTGAGTGGGTGGGTGAGTGGGTGGGTGGGTGGGTGAGTGGGTGGGTGGGTGGGTGGGTGAGTGGGTGGGTGGGTGAGTGGGTGGGTGAGCGAGCGGGTGAGTGGGTGGGTGAGCGAGCGGGTGAGTGGGTGGGTGAGCGAGCGGGTGAGTGGGTGGGTGAGCGAGCGGGTGGGTAAGCGGGTGAGTGAGTGGGTGGGTGGGTGAGTGGGTGGGTGAGTGGGTGGGTGAGTGGGTGGGTGAGTGGGTGGGTGAGTGGGTGGGTGGGTGAGTGGGTGAGTGAGTGGGTGGGTGAGTGGGTGGGTGGGTGAGTGGATGAGCGAGTGGGCGAGCGGGTGGGTAAGTGGGTGAGTGAGTGGGTGGGTGGGTGGGTGGGTGGGTGAGTGGGTGGGTGAGTGGGTGAGCGGGTGAGTGGGCGGGTGAGTGGGTGGGTGAGCGGGTGGGCGAGTGGGCGAGCGGGTGGGCGAGTGGGTGAGCGGGTGGGCGGGTGGGTGAGTGGGTGGGTGGGTGGGTGAGTGGGTGGGTGGGTGGGTGAGTGGGTGGGTGGGTGGGTGAGTGGGTGGGTGGGTGAGTGGGTGGGTGAATGAGTGGGTGGGTGGGTGAATGAGTGGGTGGGTGGGTGAATGAGTGGGTGGGTGAGTGGGTGGGTGAGTGGGTGAGTGGGTGGGTGAGCGGGTTGGCGAGTGGGCGGGTGGGTAAGTGGGTGAGTGGGTGAGTGGGTGGGTGAGCGAGTGGGTGGGTGGGTGAGTGAGTGGGTGAGTGGGTGGGTGAGTGAGTGAGTGGGTGAGTGAGTGGGTGGGTGAGTGAGTGGGTGGGTGGGTGAGTGGGTGGGTGGGTGGGTGAGTGGGTGAGTGGGTGAGTGGGTGGGTGGGTGGGTGAGTGGGTGGGTGAGTGGGTGGGTGGGTGGGTGGGTGAGTGGGTGGGTGGGTGGGTGGGTGTGTGGGTGGGTGGGTGAGTGGGTGGGTGGGTGAGTGGGTGGGTGAGCGAGCGGGTGAGTGGGTGGGTGAGCGAGCGGGTGAGTGGGTGGGTGAGCGAGCGGGTGAGTGGGTGGGTGAGCGAGCGGGTGGGTAAGCGGGTGAGTGAGTGGGTGGGTGGGTGAGTGGGTGGGTGAGTGGGTGGGTGAGTGGGTGGGTGAGTGGGTGGGTGGGGGGGTGGGTGAGTGAGTGGGTGGGTGAGTGGGTGGGTGGGTGAGTGGATGAGCGAGTGGGCGAGCGGGTGGGTAAGTGGGTGAGTGAGTGGGTGGGTGGGTGGGTGGGTGAGTGGGTGGGTGAGTGGGTGAGCGGGTGAGTGGGCGGGTGAGTGGGTGGGTGAGCGGGTGGGCGAGTGGGCGAGCGGGTGGGCGAGTGGGTGAGCGGGTGGGCGGGTGGGTGAGTGGGTGGGTGGGTGGGTGAGTGGGTGGGTGGGTGGGTGGGTGGGTGGGTGAGTGGGTGGGTGGGTGGGTGAGTGGGTGGGTGGGTGAGTGGGTGGGTGAATGAGTGGGTGGGTGGGTGAATGAGTGGGTGGGTGGGTGAATGAGTGGTTGGGTGAGTGGGTGGGTGAGTGGGTGAGTGGGTGGGTGAGCGGGTTGGCGAGTGGGCGGGTGGGTAAGTGGGTGAGTGAGTGGGTGGGTGGGTGGGCGAGTGGGTGGGCGAGTGAGTGAGCGGGTGGGTGGGTGAGCGAGGGGGTGGATGATTGAGTGGGTGGGTGAGTTAGTGGGTGGGTGAGTTAGTGGGTGGGTGGGTGATTGGGTGAGCGAGTGGGTGAGCAGGTGGGCGAGTGGGTGAGTGGGTGAGTGAGTGAGTGGGTGAGTGGGTGGGTGAGCGAGTGGGTGGGTGGGTGAGTGAGTGGGTGAGTGGGTGGGTGAGTGAGTGAGTGAGTGGGTGAGTGGGTGGGTGAGTGAGTGAGTGGGTGAGTGGGTGGGTGAGTGAGTGGGTGAGTGAGTGGGTGGGTGAGTGGGTGGGTGAGTGAGTGGGTGAGTGGGTGGGTGAGCGATTGGGTGGGTGAGTGGGTGGGTGAGCGAGTGGGTGGGTGAGGGGGTGGGTGAGTGTGTGAGTGAGTGGGTGAGTGAGTGGGTGGGTGAGTGGGTAAGTGGGTGGGTGAGTGAGTGAGTGAGTGGGTGAGTGAGTGGGTGGGTGAGTGAGTGAGTGAGTGGGTGAGTGGGTGGGTGAGTGGGTAAGTGGGTGGGTGAGTGAGTGAGTGGGTGAGTGAGTGGGTGGGTGAGTGAGTGGGTGAGTGGGTAAGTGGGTGGGTGAGTGAGTGAGTGAGTGGGTGAGTGAGTGAGTGAGTGGGTGAGTGAGTGGGTAAGTGGGTGGGCGAGTGGGTGAGCGAGTGGGTGGGTGAGTGGGTGGGTGAGTGGGTGGGTGAGCGAGTGGGTGGGTGAGTGAGTGGGTGGGTGAGTGAGTGAGTGAGTGGGTGAGTGAGTGGTTGGGTGAGTGGGTAAGTGGGTGGGTGAGTGAGTGGGTGGGTGAGTGAGTGAGTGGGTGAGTGGGTGAGTGAGTGGGTGAGTGAGTGAGTGGGTGGGTGAGTGGGTAAGTGGGTGGGTGAGTGAGTGAGTGGGTGAGTGAGTGAGTGGGTGAGTGAGTGGGTGGGTGAGTGAGTGGGTAAGTGGGTGGGTGAGTGAGTGGGTGAGTGTGTGGGTGAGTGTGTGGGTGAGTGTGTGGGTGAGTGAGTGGGTGGGTGAGTGGGTGAGTGGGTGGGTGGGTGGGTGAGTTAGTGGGTGGGTTACTAACAAGAAACTCTGCGAAATATGATCCTTGACCCCGACGCCTCTCCACAACAACAACCACCACCACCATCACCACCACTGTCATCACCACCACCTTCACCACCACCCCCACCACCACCACCACCACCACCACCCCCACCACCACCACCACCACCACCCCCACCACCACCACCACCACGTGGTTGTGGCGATGTCTGCAGATCGATTTCCGCTGGTCAACAGCCTTCTGCAGCGAATCGCCGTTCGCAAGCGGAGAGATGCTCTGGTCCTGGCGACCATCACCGCAACCTGCATCATCATCCTGATACTCTACAGCCTGCACTAGCACAACAACCACAACAACCACAACAACAACAACAACAATCACAACTACAACCACAACAACTACTACAACTACTACAACTACTACAACTACTACAACCACCACAACCACTACCACCATCACCGCAACCTGCATCATCATCCTGATACTCTACAGCCTGCACTAGCACAACAACAACAACCACAACAACAACCACAACAACAACCACAACAACTACCACAACAACAACTACAACTACTACAACTACTACCACAACTACTACCACCATCACCGCAACCTGCATCGTCATCCTGATATTCTACAGCCTGCACTAGCACAACAACCACAACAACAACAACCACAACAACCACAACAACTACAACAACTACTACTACATCTACTACCACTACAACTACTACAACCACAACCACTACTACCACCACCACCACCACCACAACAACAACCACAACTACTACAACTGCTACCACCACTACAACTACAACCACTACTACCACAACCACCACAACTACATCTACCACCACAACCACAACCACCACAACTACTACAACAACTACTACAACTACTACAACCACCACAATCACTACAACCATCACCGCAACCTGCATCGTCATCCTGATACTCTACAGCCTGCACTAGCACAACAACCACAACAACAACCACAACAACAACCACAACAACTACCACAACTACTACCAGCACCACAACTACAACTACAACCACTACAACTACTACCACCACCACCACAACTACTACCACCACTACTACCACTACTACTACCACTACCACCACAACTACAGCCACTACCACAGCAACCACCACCACTACCACCACAACCACAGCTACTACCACCACCACAGCCTGCATCATCCTGCTACTATACGCCCTGCACTAGCACCACAACTACAACAACTACAACAACCACAACAACTACAACAACCACAACTACAACAACCACAACTACAACAATCACCACCACAACTACAACAATCACCACCACAACTACTACAACTACTACCACCACTACTACAACCACCACAACCACCACTACAACTACCACCACCACTACTACAACCACCACCACCACTACTACAACCACCACAACCACCACCACTACTACAACCACCACAACCACCACCACAACTACAACTACTACCACCACTACTACAACCACCACAACTACAACTGGGTGAGTGAGTAGGTGAGTGAGTGAGGAGGTGAGTGAGTGAGTAGGTGAGTGAGTAGGTGAGTGAGTGAGTAGGTGAGTGAGTGAGTAGGTGAGTGTGTGGGTGAGTAGGTGAGTGGGTGAGTGAGTGAGTGTGTGAGTAGGTGAGTGAGTGAGTAGGTGAGTGAGTAGGTGAGTGAGTGGGTGAGTGAGTAGCTGAGTGAGTGAGTAGGTGAGTGGGTGAGTGAGTGAGTAGGTGAGGCGAGTGGGTGAGTGAGTGAGTGACTAGGTGAGTGAGTGTGTGGGTGAGTGTGAGAGTGATTGTGTGGGTGAGTGTGTGAGCGAGTAGGTGAGTGGGTCAGTGTGTGGGTGAGTGAGTAGGTGAGTGTGTGAGTGAGTAGGTGAGTGTGTGGGTGAGTGAGTGGGTGAGTGTGTGGATGAGTGGGTGGGTGAGTGAGTAGGTGAGTGTGTGGGTGAGTGAGTGGGTGAGTGAGTGGGTGAGTGAGTAGGTGAGTGAGTGGGTGAGTGAGTGGGTGAGTGAGTGGGTGAGTGAGTAGGTGAGTGAGTAGGTGAGTGAGTAAGTGAGTGAGTAGGTGAGTGAGTGAGTAGGTGAGTGAGTGAGTAGGTGAGTGAGTGGGTAAGTGAGTGGGTGGGTAAGTGGCTGAGTGAGTGGGTGAGTGAGTAGGTGAGTGAGTAGGTGAGCGAGTGAGTGAGTGAGTAGGTGAGTGAGTAGGTGAGTGAGTGAGTAGGTGAGTGAGTAGGTGAGTGAGTGAGTAGGTGAGTGAGTAGGTGATTGGGTGAGTGAGTGATTAGGTGATTGGGTGAGTGAGTGAGTAGGTGAGTGAGTGAGTAGGTGAGTGTGTGGGTGAGTGAAACCGCGACGCAGAGCGCTGCGATTGGCCGCAGTTGGTCACGTGACGCCCTCCCCAGCACCCCCCCCCTCCGCCGCTGTGACGCTCAGCGAGGACACGTGAGCGAGACCAGGGCTCTGGACGATTTTTTTCTCGCTCTTTGTGACGTCACGTTTGTCGGCGGTTGCCATGGCAACAATAAAACACGAGGTCATGACGAAATTTTTTCATTTGTCTGTGTGAGTCTGTGGGTCTCTGTGTGAGTGAGTCTATGGGTCTCTGTGTGAGTGAGTCTATGGGTCTCTGTGTGGTGAGTCTATGGGTCTCTGTGTGGTGAGTCTATGGGTCTCTGTGTGAGTGAGTCTATGGGTCTCTGAGTGAGTCTATGGGTCTCTGTGTGAGTCTATGGGTCTCTGTGTGAGTGAGTCTATGGGTCTTTGTGTGGTGAGTCTATGGGTCTCTGTGTGGTGAGTCTATGGGTCTCTGTGTGAGTCTATGGCTCTCTGTGTGAGTGAGTCTATGGGTCTCTGTGTGAGTGAGTCTATGGGTCTCTGTGTGAGTGAGTCTATGGGTCTCTGTGTGAGTGATTCTATGGGTCTCTGTGTGAGTGAGTCTATGGGTCTCTGTGTGACTGAGTCTATGGGTCTCTGTGTGACTGAGTCTATGGGTCTCTGTGTGAGTGAGTCTATGGGTCTCTGTGTGATGAGTCTATGGGTCTCTGTGTGACTGAGTCTATGGGTCTCTGTGTGAGTGAGTCTATGGGTCTGTGTGAGTGAGTCTATGGGTCTCTGTGTGAGTGAGTCTATGGGTCTCTGTGTGAGTGAGTCTATGGGTCTGTGTGAGTGAGTCTATGGGTCTCTGTGTGAGTGAGTCTATGGGTCTCTGTGTGAGTGAGTCTATGGGTCTCTGTGTGAGTGAGTCTATGGGTCTCTGTGTGAGTGAGTCTATGGGTCTCTGTGTGAGTGAGTCTATGGGTCTGTGTGAGTGAGTCTATGGGTCTCTGTGTGAGTGAGTCTATGGGTCTCTGTGTGAGTGAGTCTATGGGTCGCTGTGTGACTGAGTCTATGGGTCTCTGTGTGAGTGAGTCTATGGGTCTTCGTGCGATGGAGTCTATGGGTCTCTGTGTGAGTCTATGGGTCTCTGTGTGAGTGAGTCTATGGGTCTCTGTGTGAGTGAGTCAATGGGTCTCTGTGTGAGTGAGTCTATGGATCTCTGTGTGAGTGAGTCTATGGGTCTCTGTGTGAGTGAGTCTATGGGTCTCTGTGTGAGTCTATGGGTCTCTGTGTGAGTCTATGGGTCTCTGTGTGAGTGAGTCTATGGGTCTCTGTGTGAGTGAGTCTATGGGTCTCTGTGTGAGTCTATGGGTCTCTGTGTGAGTGAGTCTATGGGTCTCTGTGTGAGTGAGTCTATGGGTCTCTGTGTGAGTGAGTCTATGGCTCTCTGTGTGAGTGAGTCTATGGGTCTCTGTGTGAGTCTATGGGTCTCTGTGTGAGTGAGTCTATGGCTCTCTGTGTGAGTGAGTCTATGGGTCTCTGTGTGAGTCTATGGGTCTCTGTGTGAGTGAGTCTATGGGTCTCTGTGTGAGTGAGTCTATGGGTCTCTGTGTGAGTCTATGGCTCTCTGTGTGAGTCTGTGGGTCTCTGTGTGATGAGTCTATGGCTCTCTGTGTGGTGAGTCTATGGCTCTCTGTGTGAGTGAGTCTATGGCTCTCTGTGTGAGTGAGTCTATGGGTCTCTGTGTGAGTGAGTCTATGGCTCTCCGTGATGAGTATGAGTCTCCGTGCGAGTGATCCGATCGAAATCCCTGATTTCCATTACGATCATTGGGGATTTTATTACTAATAAAACGGCATGTTGCGATCACCACTGCCGCTGTGCTGCACGTCATCACGTGGTCCGAGATGATAGAAACAATGGCCCGAGTCCATCATTGGCAACAGGTAACGGCAAAGACGCTCCTTCCGTGGCTGTACCGGAGGCAAATCTCCGTCCGGCGCCGGCTGACGCCATTCTCCCGCGGAGGGAGGAGAGATGGTGGTTGTTGTAGCAGCGACTTGGGGTCGCTCGGTCACTGGCCAGGGTCAGCAAGTCCGGCGGCGGCACCACGTGGTGGTGGTGGTGGTGGTGTGGCCCCCCACAATATGGCCCCCGGGGCTGTGACGGGGGGTGGGGGATAAGCCCCGGGCGCGGGTTGGTGAGAGGTTGAGTTTTTTTTTTAAGGGGGCACCACGGGGTGAGCAGATACTACACACTCACACACAGCTCCTACACACACTCACACACAGCCACTACACACACACTCACAGCCCCTACACACACACTCACAGCCCCACCCCACCCAGCCCCACCCAGCCCCTCCCCTCCCACCTCCACCCCCACCCAGCCCCACCCTCCCCACCCAGCCCCTCCCCCACCCAGCCCCACCCCACCCAGCCCCTCCCCACCCTCCCTACCCAGCCCCTCCCCCACCCAGCCCCACCCTCCCCACCCAGCCCCTCCCCACCCAGCCCCTCCCACCTCCACCCCTACCCAGCCCCTCCCCCACCCCACCCAGCCCACCCTCCCTACCCAGCCCCTCCCCCACCCAGCCCCTCCCTCCCCCACCCAGCCCCTCCCTCCCCACCCAGCCCCTCCCCTCCCTCCCCACCCAGCCCCTCCCCTCCCCACCCCACCCAGCCCCTCCCCCACCCAGCCCCTCCCCACCCTCCCTACCCAGCCCCTCCCCCACCCAGCCCCTCCCCCACCCAGCCCCTCCCCACCCAGCCCCTCCCCACCCTCCCTACCCAGCCCCTCCCCCACCCAGCCCCTCCCTCCAAACCCAGCCCCTCCCCTCCCTCCCCACCCAGCCCCTCCCCTCCCCACCCAGCCCCTCCCCTCCCCACCCCACCCAGCCCCTCCCCCACCCAGCCCCTCCCCACCCTCCCTACCCAGCCCCTCCCCCACCCAGCCCCTCCCCCACCCAGCCCCTCCCCACCCAGCCCCTCCCCCACCCAGCCCCTCCCCACCCCTCCCTACCCAGCCCCTCCCCCACCCAGCCCCTCCCTCCCCACCCAGCCCCTCCCCTCCCTCCCCACCAAGCCCCTCCCCTCCCCACCCCACCCAGCCCCTCCCCCACCCAGCCCCTCCCCACCCAGCCCCTCCCCACCCTCCCCACCCAGCCCCACCCAGCCCCACCCCACCCAGCCCCTCCCCACCCTCCCCTCCCAGCCCCTCCCATTTTTGGATGCACAACGGAGGGACGATTTCGATTTAAATCTTTCGCGACGGCAAGGATTCAACTCCTTTGGTTCGTTCAGTCAAAGTCACCACCACGTAGAATGAGATAATAAATTAATAAATTAACACGATAAAATCCTCACGACGTTTCGGCCGACAACACAAGTGGACTCGGCCTGAACAAGGCCCGCTTGTGTTGTGGCCGAAACGT